CGCCGCCATTGTTTTTTGCTGGGGTGGAGGGGGGAGGGGGAGGGTGGGTGGGCATCTCCGACAAGCGGTGTGTCGGATGGTAGGTGCGACATATGCCAACGGGTGGCTTATCATTGTGGGAGCCAGTAAGACGTCGCCGGTGCCTGAAAGCGGGATGAGGCGAAGACATGCACGCCGGCGAATCTTACCCAGCTTCGGGGCTCTCCGAGGAGATAACACCCCTACTGCTAATCTGCGGGGTCTCCGCATGATCACTAGATGAACGAGTGGCTACAAGATGCTCCTTGAGCTGCTTGGCGAGAGGAAGAAGAAGGGCACGACTAGCTCTCCTCTCCTCTCTATGTGGTGTCTAATACTAGCTCAGATCAACCCTTTGCATGGGTGCCCCAGAGGGTTTATATAGGCTCACCCCCCGGGGGTACAATGGTAATCCGGCTGGGCGTGGGCCCCAGATGTCTGTGTCTACGCACGCCGGCTTCTGCGCCGGCTGCTGGGGCCCGCCGGCTGCCGGTTCCTTGGTCGACAGGCAGGCCCCACTGTCCAGGGCCTTGTCGATGGCTGGTTACTGTTGCCTCAACCTGGTGACGAGGGCTTCGCCGAGGTGGGCGTGGCTACAGTGCCGACGCCCGGCGGGTGATCACTGTAGCCTCACCGCGTCTTGTCTCCTTAATGGGGCGTCTCCTTCGAGGGAGGGGGCAAGCCGGCTGCGGGGAGCCGGCCCCGTCTCGGGCCGACTGGAGGAGGCCTGGCCGCCTTCGGGTATTTCTCTGCCTGAAGGGGCCCACCGCCCATGGGCCGCGCTGGCAGCCCATCGTGGGTGACATCAGGGTCAACATGGCAACAGTGTCGCGTCGGACGGGTCATGGCCACCCCGTACGGTGCACTGTGCCAGGCGTGCTCCGGGATTCGGGGGTGGCAGGCTTTATTGTAGCCACGCCCCGTCACATTGCCGTTATGTGGATGCAGACTTCGAGGGTACGATCTTGACCGCTTTGTGGGAGCCGGCCTCTTGGAGTCGGCCTTCTCGTGGCCGGCTTCTTGAAGCCGGCCCTCCCGCGGCTTTCTTCATGAGGACTAAAGCCGGGCCGCCTTCCGATAGTCGGCCTGGGAGGCAGCCGGCAGGGGGAAGGCGGCCCCACGTCTTGAATTCTTAAGGGTCGAATCGGTTCGTAATTTTTTCAGAAGGGCCCTGGGGAGCCGGCTAGGCTATCCGTGGTCATTTACTCCGACACGGTGCGCGGGAGGCTACTGTCGACGGCGAGAGGGACGAACGCGTGCTGCACGATGCGGAGGGGGGCAGCCACCATGGGCTCCCTGTGTTTTTTTTCTTCTCAGCTCAAAAAAGACGACCAGCGGCGAGGCATGCTGGCGAAATAGGGGGAGGAGGAGGCCTCGGTCTTGCCCGATGCAAGCGAACGACATTATGATGGGACGAGAAAAGAAAAAAGACTATGATTTCTTGACGAAATTTCACAAGCACTCCAAACATTCTTTAAAGTTTGCCAAAAAAAATTCAAATTTTTTGAAGTTTTTTTTATTTTTACTGTTTTCATCATGAGCATTTGAGAAAGACACTTTCGTTGATGGGACTTTTTTTTTGGACGCTGCGCTCTCCGGATTTTATTCATTTCTTCCTCCGCCTTCAGTCTCCTCCTATCCACCTCTAGCCTTGCGCGACCTGCCCACGCTCGCCGGCCATGCCGCCGCCACTCTCCTTCCTCCACCCACCTCCCAACCCGCCTGTCCTCCACCCCTCCCCCTTCCACCAGCGTGCCCCCCACCGCCTATCCCTCCGCGCCGATCCCCCATTCCGAGCGGCGACGGTGGCGGCGGCAGCGGCAGCGGCCGAGAACCCGTACTCGGCGGCGCCCACTGCGGCGGACGTCGAGATGTTCCGCGGCGGGGACGGCGTGTGGACGGCGCAGAGCCCGACGGTGGTGGTGCTGTGGGACCTCGACAACAAGCCCCCGCGCGGGCCGCCCTTCGAGGCGGCCACCTCCCTCCGCGAGGCGGCGTCCCTCCTCGGCCGCGTCGACTCCGTCTCCGCCTTCGCCAACCGCCACGCCTTCACCCACCTCCCCGCCTGGGTCTCCGCCGACCGCCGCGAGCGCCGCGCCCTCGACCGCGCCGAGCGCACGGGCGCCGCCGCCCCGCCCGTCCCCTACTCCTGCGCCGTCTGCGGCCGCCGCTTCCCCACCCGCCCCGACCTCGCCCGCCACTTCCGCCAGCTCCACGAGCGCGAGCGCAACAAGAAGCTCGGCCGCCTCCGCTCCCTCAAGGGCAAGAAACGCCAGAAGTTCCGCGAGCGCTACATCTCCAACAACACCAAGTACCAGGACGCCGCGCGGGAGCTCCTCACCCCCAAGGTCGGCTACGGGCTCGATTCCGAGCTCCGCCGCGCCGGCGTCCATGTCCGCACTGTCCCGGACAAGCCGCAGGCTGCCGACCAGGCGCTCAAACGCCAGGTGAAGCACGCCATCGCCTGCGGCGTCGACTGGGTCGTGCTCGTCTCCGATGACTCCGACTTCACCGACACGGTGCGTAACGCACGCGCTGCCGCCCTGAGGATGGTTGTGGTTGGGGATGGGTGTCGCGCGCTCGGAAAGGTTGCTGATATTTGGCTGCCTTGGGACAGCGTGCAAAACGGGGAGGTTGATGAGGAGATGATGCGGAGTGGGAAGGTTCCAGAGTTTAGATATGAAGAGGACGATGAGCAAGATGATGACGAGTTCATAGTGGATTGGGATACGAATGAATTGGATGATGTTGTTGATGATATTGTTACAAGCAGGACTAAAGTGTTTGGTTCTACAACAATGTCTGCATTTGCCGAAGAGGACATTGTTGATGGTATATTGGGGCTTCGACATAAGGAGGATGACATGCTTTGGAGTAGCGACGACGAGGATGAGGATGGTTATCTGTGAGATTTACACGGATTGGCAGGTAACAATTGGATATGTGTGCGTATTTCTTTTGCTTTCGATGCATATACAATGATCAGTCAATCCTCTAGAAAACTACTGTAGGGTTAGTAACAAGATACTGTGGGTTGCGTGCATTTTGCTTCAGCCTTTGGCTATGATTGTACTGTGTGCCACAATCTTTGCAGATATGTATGATAATTGAGTTGAACAAATATTTCTTGTTTTTTTAGACCATTGTCAATAGAGTTTTCTTATTAATATATGCAGTGATTACACAGGTTCATACCAATATTCTTCTGAATGTTAGGACCAACATATGGCCAAGTAGTTAAGTCATTATCATCGATTCAGTCACACTGCTCAATTTCACGAACTTGGCAATATGGCAATTCTCAGACTTGCTAGGCGGCAGGTTTTGTGAGGCGATACGAGGGAAGTCTCCATACTGCAATGATCAACTGATCAACAAGACAATACCACTGGCTTGTGTTCTTGAATTCTTGTCATCTCTACGTGCACTACTTCAGGATCCAAAGCTTGATTGCTTTCCTCAGTGCCGCTCTGCACACAAGTAACCAGTAATTTCAGTATCTCTTGTTTCTTCACTTCAGAGCCACTTCTGTTTGGTCTTCGATGATCATTCATCCACGTTAATAAAGAGAACATCATCACCCAACCTTCTTCAGGTGGTATCCATTTCTCTGGCAAGTAAGCCGTACCTGTAACTTAACCCCTCGCTAATCTGTTGACATGAACATCATAGCTTCAGCTGTCCTTTTTTGTCAGTTCCATAATGTCACCTCCATAAGCAACATTGCATGTTCACCACATTTTATATCATCACCATTGTTCAGCCTCTAAGTTTCCCTATGCAGTTGTTTCGAACCAATATCATCTGCTAGGCCTTTTGTTAGTTTTCTGTAGTTGGTATCCTTGATTTCTTTAACTATTTTACCAAATCTCTGTAGGATAAGCAGCATCTTGAATTATTAATACTAACCCAGATTGGGGCACTGAACTCCTGTTTTAATGTTCCTGTCCTGCCTATAAAGAATTTCCCATAAGGCCACCTCTTGAGAAAAATGAACAGGGGAAAATGTAGTGGGATGTTTGGGGCACTATAAGTCAACAAGGGTTGGTAACTCATTACTGGGGGAAACTTTGCACAAAGTTTCATTACGATTAATGGTGGCTTCAAGATTTCTTGTAGGCATCATAAGTCATTCAGTCTTATAGCTCTTCATTATCTGCATGCGGTCTTTTTCTTTTCCTCTCAGGTGCTCGTTTTGTCTGGTCCTTCAGTTTAATGTTTTTATTTAGCAGCCGTTATTATTGGCAAGAACCTATGGAATCTATGTTTGGGCTCATAACGGTTAGATTGTTTGGGCTCATAACACATTAAAATTTGCTCCTGCTATTCAGCTAGAGCCTTGAGCATTATACAAGGATGAACTGTAGGGGCAGCCCATTACCTTCTGGGTGGAATTGTCACAACATGGGCATCCTTGCTGATTTTTGGGCACACATACTTATCCTCGATTGGATAAGTGCTGTACTGGAAAGCAGGTTGGCAATATGTGTCCTGTTTGTGTTTTGGGGAAAATGGCTAACTTGAGGTACAAATTTTGCAGCATACTGGAACCCTTGGATCAGGGGCCTTTGGTTCAAGAAGTTACAAATTCCATTTGAGAAACAGTAGGTTCCTCTAATCGTTTATTTTCATGAAGTTTCAACTGCTATTTGAGAAATGGGAAACAGTAAGGCAGTGCCAAAACACCTATTGTAGAACTGTAACTCTGTCAAACCCGGAAACATGAAAAACAATTGTACTTTCATATCTGCTCAAGTCTTGTCCTATATGTATGAGGATTGTTTTGCTTGGATTGAATATAAATTTGAAACCAAATAGCCCTCATTTACAGGTGCGTTTAACCAGTATTTTTCTCCCTACCAATATCTTCTTGCTAATATAAGTAGTCCAGCAACAAACCAGGCCCAGTGACATTCTGTCATGTGTGTCTTATGGTGGTACCGGTGGTTGTACAGAAAAAAAAAATTAGGCCATTAGATCCCGTTAAGAACTCTCACTCACTTATTTTGCTTTTCAGGATCCCAAAAGACCACTGAATTCAAATCAGCAGAACAGCTCTCGCCTGACATTCAAGATGCACTTTGGATAACAAACATGCCCCTAGGGCAGTAGCTGGAAGCGAAAGAGAGAACCTCATAGTTGGATAAAGTCTTAACCAGGACAGAAGTGCACCCTTGAGGCAGTCCGAAGGAACCAAGATGAGCGGACAGGCGCTCAGTTGCAAAGATGATACTTGAAGAGTGTCTGAAGGCTTGCAATGGCATGTCCTGCAAAGGGTGGGTGGCAATGTGGCATGGTGTGATGAAACACTGCTAAAATGTGGATAGACTGTCATGAATGTGTGCCTTGAAGATTAACCTGAAACTGTTAATGCCGTGGGTCAAAGACAAGCTGCCTGCCTGCCTGCCTGCTGTTTACAGACATGCTCTATGACTCTGTTCTTTCTGCATTATACACGTGCTGTAAGTTTCTGAGGAAAGATGTGCGTATATGCAGTTGCTTTTCTTTTCCAGGAGGTGCATGCAGTTGCTTGACTCAAGTGCGCACCTCTTTGTAGGGCCTAGTGACCAGTGGCTGTGCTCATGAGAACCGAGCAGGTTTGGGCAGCCTGAAGCAGCAGTGGAAAAAAAAGAAGGAAAATCATGATCTTCCAGGGGTTGATTGACTGTAGTTCCAGCCTTCCAGGGGGTCTTACCCATTAGGGCCACGGTGCAAGCAAAGCCTGGAACTGGAAGGCGTCACGCAGCGATACCGGCCAATCGCCAGTGGGACGATGGTTGCTAGTACCAGCGCCAAGAGAATGCGGCGTCCTGGGCAATGGAAATGATTAGTCCATTTTTCCAGATGTAGGAGAACACACACGACACAATAAGTAGTCGCTCGTGTCGCCCCACCCCGCGGGCAAACCTAGCCGCCGCACCAGCCTCATCCAGATCCGCCCACCTCCCCTTGCCGCCGCCGGGCTGGCGGTGCGGGGCCGCTTGGCCAAGGAGAGGCGCGGGGGCGCGGCGCACGCGAGGAGCAGGCGTGGTCGGCGCGGCGCGCGCAGCGAGCGAGCGTCGGGACGCCAGGCAGGCGCGGCGGGCGTGGAGTGCAGGCGGCGGCGGGCACGGCAAGCGGGCGCCGGGGCGCCAGGCAGGCGCGGCAAGCGGCAGGCCAGTACTGCCCGCTCGGGCGCCGTGGGGGTGCGGGGGCGTTGCGGTCGGCTTTGGCCAGATCTGGCCTCTGGCAACCTGTGGCTTGAGGGCTGGCTCGAGGAGGCACCAGGCGTCGTTGGAGAGTGGCTGCGTTTCGCGCCTAGTCCGGCAACGTGTGGTGGCTGCAACGGTGGTGTCAGGGATGACTGGTGGTTGTCTCTCCTTCAAGCGCGTCCACGCCCGACTCCTGGAGCTGTGGCGCCGTTCAGTTTGTCTTGTGCTACAAAAGGTTCGGGCAGGCCAGATCTAGCATGGATAGTCCTGTTCTTGCATGCGGCGGTGCGAGCCACACAGTCTGGCCTGGATCCTGCCAAGTCCTGCGTGCGGTGGTGCGGATCGGCTATGTTTGGTTTCTTCCTCGACCTTTCCTGTGCGCTGCGGTGCGGAGGATCGCCTAGGTCTGCGCACGGAGGTAGAGGATGGCCAGATCTGGCTTGGATCGCCCAAGGCCTGCGAGCGGCCGTGCGGACCGGTCGGGTTGGCGTGTGCTCGCCGAGTTCCTACGTGCTGATTGACCAATTCGTCTCTAGTAGTGTTTGCTTTGGGCTCATGTTGCACTATGGCGCTGGTGGCCTCGGATCCTTGGATTGTTGGTGGAAGACTCGGCTCCGGATGAAAATCATGCATCAACTCTGTCGTTGCCGGCAGTAACGGCGTCTACGGATGTCGTCTTCCTCCTTGGAGGTATCGCTGTGGAGCCGTTCCCTTTCTTCCCAATAGCGTGAGATCTCCGGGTGAAAACCTAAGATCGGGCAGTGCCAGATCGGGTGACGATGGAGTCCTCAGCTTCGTTTTCCTCCTTGAAGGCGTCACCTTGGTGATCCCACCGAGGGGTTCTGATGGTGTTCGCGTTTGATGGTAGAGCTTGGGTTTGTGGTGTTGCTGACGGGTCCTTTTCTTTCTTTTCTTTTTGCGCTGCCTTTGCGGTGCTTTCCTCCTCAGAGGACTCTTGTAACACCTTCTCCTGATCAATGAATTTGGCAGTTTTCCTGCCAACATTCAAAAAAAAGGAGAACACACCATAAACAGTACGAGAATCCAGCGCCTGACGGTGCACCTGGCCTTTTTTATTTTTTGAATAAGACGGTGCACCCGATTTCCTTGCGGTACGGAATACCTGGGAGTTGGGATGGGGACCTATTTCCTGATTAGGGACTGTTTGATTCCAAATAAGTCATCAACTTATAAGTCGAAAAGTGAAAAAAGTGACTTATTTTGTCAAACAGACCCAACTTATAAATCATAAGTTGCTCCACCCCAACTTAAAACTTATAAGTCACCCCCTTTTGCATGGGTCTCACCATCTTTACATTAAAAAACAAAGTGGGAAGGTGTGGTCAGGTAATTTATAAGTTAGATGACAACCAAACAAACGTGACTTATAAGTCACTGGTTTTAAGTCACCTGACTTATAAGTCAGATGACTTATTGGAACCAAACATGCCCTAATGACCAGGAGCAACCTGAATGGTCCTTGCTGAACTTGTTGTAGGTAGCCATAGTGAGGTTATCGACCGACCGGGCAGCGAGTTCTGCGTGACGGAGAATTTAGGTTGGGTGGTACACCTGTGTACCCAGCCACGCCATGGTTTCTCATGCCTCCTGCCGGCGTCACCGTGGGTCTACCTCGTCTATAGTTTTTTTTATGTTTTTTAAGTTTTGTTAGGGTTTATTGAAGGAAATATGCCCTAGAGGCAATAATAAAGTTATTA